CCATTAAGATTAAAAAAATATTTCACTTAATCGTGTTTCAGGTACGCTGATTTTAAAATTTAAAATCAACGGTTCCCCCTTTGTTGTTGTTGTTGTTGTTTCTTCCCTTCTTTTTTTTTATTACATTTTTCGCACGTTTACATCATCAAATCCCAAAATATCCAGTGTTCGGGAAGAGAAGGGAAGGGAAGGGAGGGAAGGGGAAGAGAAAAAACGATTTCCCAGAATTTTCACTACCCTACATTTATCCGATTAAAAAAAAAAAATCAAAAATTCCAAATTTCCACTAGTTTACCTTGACCTGCAGGAAATCAAACAATCTTTTTTTTTTTTAATATTCAACCCCCTCCCCCCCAATGAAAGTGTTTAAACAAACGGCCTCAATTTGAATGGATACGGAAAGAAGAAGCTCTGGAGCCGGGGGGGGGGGCTGTGTGTGTGAGGGGCAACAAATAAAAATTTTTCAATTTAATGAGTAACAGAAGTGTATTTAGAAACGAATACACTTAACGCGTTGAGTGAAAAAATGAATAAAAAAAATTTTTTTTTTCTTTTTCCCAATTACGACTAAATGTTCATTTATTAACAACCTATGATAATAAAAAACATTTTATTTCAGTAATTGATTTTTTGTTTTTTTTTTTTTTGGGGGGGGGTTGTATAAATAGGTCAAAAACAAAAAATACACAACACAATTCGATAATAAACTAAATAACCGACGACGATGTATGATGATAATGAAAAAAAAAAGGTTAAAACATAAAAAAAAAATTAAAAAAACGTGGAAAAGGGATGAAGAGAGAGAAAAAGAGAGAGAGAGAGAGAAAGGGAAAAACCCCCTCAAATATAAAAGAGTGGGCGGGAACAACGTAATAAAAAAATGACAAGTGGCAGCAGACGAAAAAGCACGCACATCAACAAAAAAAAAAAAAAAAAAAAAAAAAAACATTGAAAATGATTTTTTTTTTTTTTTTTCGTCTTCTTCCAAACCTTGTTCGAAACGAACACGAGAAGACGAGGTCGTCGTTTGTCGATTTCCCCCCCCCCCTAAACAACCAATTCAAGGTTGAATTGGTTGTCGTTGTTGTTGTTGTTGTTTGTAAACGTAAGTTTTGAAAATGACCTCAGACAATCAATTATTATTAAATGGGAGTAAATAAAAGTAAACAATGTAATTCTCGTACGACAGCAAATTTTTTCCATTCATCAAATTGCGACCTGGGAGGATTTCAGGTAGTACCTTTTTTCACAATTTCCACGTGCACGAAAAAAAAACCATCATCTACAAATAATCAATTCGTAATTTATGATAACGATTAGTAAATAAAGCAGACGATTCGGCGGCATCCCAATGCAGTGACTCACCGGAGCGCTCTTTCAAGGATTCAAGGAAATGGTTTTTCCGGATTTTTTCCATTTTCCTAACACGTCGTGCACATAATCATTGTGCCCCCCCCCCAATACGTCGTAACTCGTTCGAAACGCGAGAATAATAATAATAATATGCAATGGTAAAAACCCTTGGCTACGAATAATGGAATGAATTTTTACGGTTTTGATCGTGACATTGAATGTGATTTAATAATAAAACCGTTTCCTCCATCGTTTAAATGGCTACTACTACAACTTCGAAAAAATAATTAATGGCAATCGGAAAAGAAAAAACAAACGCACGAAGGACGACGTTAAGAGAGAGTTAATTGACAAAATAAAAAAAAAATTTATTCGTTAATAAATTTTCCGGTTGCGTACCCCCCTCATAAAAAAAACCACCGACTTTTCCAACCGAAACAATAACAAAAAAAAACTCGAAAAGTTATTCATTGAATAATTAGTAGTGTTACGACAACAACAACAACAACAACAACTAACGGCTTTTTAAATTCGTTTGCCAAATCTATCATTATCATTATTATTATTTTGCTACCATCTCCCGCCTAATTTTAACGAACGTTTTCGCGTTTTCGCGGTTCTTATTCCCAATCGAATCGATTTAAACTTTCCCCGCCATTTTTTTTCTGCGGTTTTAACTAACAAAAATTATAAATAATTAAAAAAACTACAAATTAAACTAAATAATAATAATAATAATAAAACAACCGAGAAATTTCGTTTCGAGTAGTTTTTTTTTGGGGAGGGGAGGAGGAGGAGGAGGAGGGGGAGTAAATTCTCTTAGGAAATAAATCGACGACATATTTAAATCGATGAATAAAGTCATAAAAAC